CCCCTTGGGACCAGCAGTTGGCATAATGGCTATGTCACTGGACTCCCATGTAGTCGACCGTGGTTCAAGTCCTGGACCTGGTGGCTTAAACTCTGGCTGGGCACATGCCCAAGATCCCGAGAGGAGAATGGAGAGGAAAGGATTGTGGTATGGCCATTCCCCTCGAGGGGTGATTTTTCACTTTCTGTCTCTCTGTCTCTGCCTTTTTGGCAAGCACACGCGCCTTATAGCAAAAACCTCTCCAGAAAAAAAGAACGGAGACCCCTTGTCTTATTTCCCCTACCCAGAGTGATTGCAGCTTTTGCTAAACCCTGCTACCCAGCCTGCTTTCTCTCATTTCCCCCAAAAATCTCTATCTAAATAATCTGTTGTAACTGGAGTGCAGTGCCAATTGCCATTCTGATAAGTAAGGGTGAATGGAACTCTCCTTTGAAGGGTGTTATTTTTGGGTTTCCACCCCAATTTTGACCACATACATAGAACAACATTTAGCAAACTGGCCTGTGAGCAAAATCCAGCCCACCGCCTGTCTTCATATGGCTTCAGAGCTGGAAATGGTTCTTACATTTTAAAATGGTTGAAAAAAGTGAGACAATATTTTATGACAAATGAAAATTACATGAAATCTGAATTTTAGTCTCCATAAATAAAAAGGTTGGAGACAACATTTTAGGGAAAGCTAATATTCCAAGAGTAACTGAAAGAAAGGAGCCGGAGAGAAAGCTACCCAAGAAGTGGGAGGACAAGCTGGAAGGAAACTAGGAACACAGCCATGCTCTATCATTTACATATTGCCTATGGCTGTTTTTATGCCACAGCTGAGTACTCAGGACAGGGACAGATAGCCCACAAGGCCTGAAATATTTACTACCTGGCATTTTCAAAGTTTGCCGACCTCGGGTCTAGACCTCAAGATGACTGTGTGCCATACCAAGGAACTTCAAAATGTTTGGGAGAAAATAGAAATAAAGAACAAATTTATTTTGGTGCAAAAAAACTTTGAAATTCATGTTTAGTTGTTTCATAATATGCATTTCCCACAAACTTTTTGTAGACCCCTCTTACATCACCTCTACAGACCCAGTAGCATCGTAAACTTCCTTTCTACTGTTCTGAGGGACCTGGACCTTCCCTCAGCCACAACTACTGATGAGTTACTCCACAAACGTTGGGACAGTGGGACAGTGTTCTCTTGTTTCTCAAACCCTCCCCCATGGCCTGGCAAG